AGACGACTCTCTGTGTTCGATCATCGCTGTCTCCGAAGCAGTGCTGACATCCAGTGGCAACACCATGTTAGTAATGCAGAGGTTCGGCATCGTGTGTTCGGGCACAAAGACGATAATACAATTGGTGTCACCATCTTGAAACACCGACTTCGGTGGCTTGGACATGTTCTACGAATGTCGTCCCAGAGAATTCCTCGTCGTGCATTATTTGTCGACACTGGAACTGGTTGGAAAATGCGGAGAGGTGGTCAGTGTATGACATGGTGTCGTGGTATGAAATAAAGCTGCAAAAGACTGGCTTCTGTTGGTCCTTCACGACTCCCTGGCTGGGGTCCGAGAGACGGTGTAACACAGTGGCTAGAAACGTTATCAGATATGGCTAAGAATAGAAGCCAGTGGCGATCCTGCTGTAACCTTCTTTTACTTTCTTCGTCAAAAGTGGTTGCTTCTTCCTTAACTGAAAGAATTCTTTCTGGTTGTACCTTTCCGTTTTCCCATAGTTATTCTTATTACACTAAATTACACTAATCTGTGGTCGTTATTGTTCTTTTTTTTCTTATACGCACCTTACCTTCTTTTCCTCTTCCCATTCTCATTGTTTTGTGTGGTGCATATATATCTGGTGCCCCCACTTGTACCAACAGTTACGTGTTCAAATAAATAAATAAATAGTGATCAGTTTATTTATTCCTAAATGTCTCGGCTGATCTACGTTTTAGCGGCATGGCAGCTTATCAATATGTTATAAAATCTACAATAATTAATTTATGCATAAAACAATTCATCGACTGAAGTGACGACCACATTGGCTAAAATGCAGTTAAATCTAAAGGGAAATTTAGTCAACACAGAGATTGTTTATAATTCTACTTATATTGATATGAAAGGTAAACTGAAAGTTACAATACTAAGCATTTTAATTAATTACATAAGTGGGTCAATAGCTGATGGAATTACGCGAAGTGATTCTATCCGACTTTATATTAAGATAGTTAGTGGCCAGATTACTATGAGACTGGTATGGTATCTAGTTTATCTGACGTTGGTGATCATCTACTACATTAATTTCTCTTGACATAAACATTAGTTACTACAAGATCAGTTTTTAGTCTAATCCGAATAAAGTATAGGCTAATTGTTATGATTATCTCATTCTGATATAATTTATAATCGATCGAATTCTATTATCTGTTTCAAGTTCAGACTTGACCTCTATGATAAGTCACACTATTACAAATAATTATCGTTATAACATATACAAGTCAAAGTATCAAAGAAATAAAGATCACGTGATTAAAAATTTCAGTAAATAAGTCTGATAAGTCATGAAGATGTAGCTATTACCAATGTATAATATAAATATTTGTATTATAAAGCACAAAGCTGAGCCTTTAATTTATTTGATATAAACATACTAGGTTCACTATGAACAGAAATTCAAAAAAATAGTTTTAAATTTACACCTAACTAAAAAAAAGTCAAATTAAAAAAATTTATATATAATAAGTTAGGATATATTTCATAAACTAAGAAAGTAACGATAGTAGACAGTGTCAAGTTTTCATTTTATACGGTGAATTTAAATAACGGCATGGGGTTGTGGAGATTATTAAGTTTTGGATAGAGATTATGAGCTGATTGATGTTAAACTACCATTGGAAACCTGGAAGCACTGGACAGCCGTTTCGTCCTCTTGCGGGACTCATCATCAGTGAGCTTCCACGACCTCGCTAGCGGGATTCGAACCCAGGGCCTTCGGTCTTGCGCACTACCGCCTAACCTCTAAACCACTGAGCCGACATTAAGTTTGTCTGATGTAGCTTTTTGTTACATGTTAACCATGTACGACCGGTAGTTAAAGAAAAAAACATTGATTCAATAATTCATAAAATAATCAGAATGTTTCTTAAATATAAACGAAAAGAAATAATGGTCTATATATATTTATACGCTAGTATAATCACATATCTATTATTAAATGAAGATAGAAATCCTAATTTATTTTATACAAATATCTCTTAATGATATAGTTTGAAATGTTTAAGTGTTTACACAGATGCATTAACTCTATATGACCAAATTAATCTAAGCAAGTAACAGTAGAATAGTTGAGTTCATGGGTCAATTAAACCTAGACCACCATGCAAAACCTGGAATCACTGGAAAGTAGAATAATCAAAATCAATCAGTATGATATGACAGAACTATGACATAAACTTCTCAAAAATGTATACATGAAATAAAACAAAGTACAATATTTATTATTTAATTAAATGATCATACAAAGTATCCAATAGAATGGTAAATACTATTATTCGACTAGAAATATCAAGTCCTAGGTTTAAATCTTTATACACTAGAATCCAGTTAAAGCAGATTCAATAAACACAACATCTATGGCTTAATAATTAATGTCATGTTACATAACAAAATTACTCATTCAGTATTCAATAACGATAGATTACACCATAAACTGAATTTAGATAGATAAGCATTGTCCTGTGTTTTTCAGTTTTTAGTGTTTCTCTAACTGATGACAATATGTATTCCCAAATATCTCCATATTAAACAATCTCCACAAATCGATCAACCTAATTTAATTAAGATCTTCATAATTTCATTTACTAGAAGGAATTACAAAGAGAACCTAGCTAGTTGCATAATCCTATTTTCTTAAGTCATCATATATATATATATATATATATATATATATATATATACAATTACAAAATAGTTCTGAATTTGTACTAACCGTCCAATTTCTTCATGAAATAGAAAAACCGCAAAATCAATATCATAAGGAAGTCTTCATTATCCTGTATTTTATAGAATGAGAATGACAATTTAAGTAACATCTAGTAAATTTTTCTTGTGTTTATAGATTATATTCAACATATTAATAAATTAATTTTTAGATGTAATAACTTTATTTTCAAGTTGATATATTTTTTGTTCACCACAGAAATGTCGTTCAAAAATAAACTATAACTATTCTTATTGATTGTGTTCGTTCAATTGAAATGAGTAAAATGACGCTAAACTACATTTAAATTGATAGCTTTTACAAGACAAAGTACTATCTTAGATAAATCGTATTATTATCATCAATTTAATTCGTTACAGAAAGTCAATTCGTGAATGACAATAAGTTTCGAATAACCAATACAACCTGGCCTAATACTCCTTTTGAAAAAAAACTAAAACTTAACTCGAAGGTAGTTTGTTCATTTTAACTGAGTAAAATTATGAAGTGAAAGTAAGAAATTCAGAATGGTTAATTTTTTTGTAAAAATAGATCATTAATCTTCAGCTTTTAATTAAAAGCTAAAGATATTACAAACAACTTATATATCTGGATTTGTTGAATTTTATCAAACATTTGGTTGAGGAATAATTGTCAGAAGTATGGTAGAGAAGTATAAGATGAACAACATCGATGATTGGTAAATTGAAACATCAGTTGTACATTTAAATATTCTAATGCCAATTGTTATTGGGAATATTTGCGACAGAAATTTGACCTAAAAGTACTATCCTAAAACTGAGTCGATTTCTGTTCAGGTAAAGATAGAAATTCACTTATTGTTAATATTAGTAGAAAAAGGCTTCCATACATTGAACATACGATTGGTTGCAAGTCATAGTGACATTATTAATTAATATGCTCGATTGATGTTAGTAATATTACTTAATTACAATGAAGTAATGGATACTAAACTAACAAGAGTTCCAAGATAATCCAAAAAAATTATTTGCTGCGGATAAACTAAGGGATAATATCTTATAGGGTTAATATGGAAACCTAGTAGCCATGACAATTATATGCTAAAAATCTAGTGCGCTGCACTGCAAAATTAGGCTAGGAGTTCTTACACAGTGATGGAATACAGTACACATTGAAATGATTCAAGATTATGATATCATGAAGATATTGGTATGCATTTATAGTGTCAACTGACATTATTTTTATTAACATATTAGATAGTTCTTTACGAATAGTCTATTCTCTTGATTCTGATATGTAGGAGAATCTGAACAAAATTGGAATTGTGATTCATTGGTTGAGAAATTAAACGTTCATCTGTTGCTTCGAGTTTGAACCCGATCTCACATATGACGACCTGGCCAGTCACATACTATCACCAGCTATCACATATACATTATTTGATTCAAATTCTTACTCTGAAAACTGTATACTGTTACTCAGCTACGTGATGTAGCATTTGCAATGTATTAGTTAAAATTATTGTACACGAATAAGCGTATTCATAATATCTAACGAATATCAATAACCATGCACAACAATATATACTTTCAGTAAATGTTTTTTTCATTATCGTCTAACATAAAAATGTTGTAATAAGAAAGTTTCGGATTTCATGACAATAAATTTTATTTGTTATATGGCTTGAGGCAACTGACAGGAACACTTGGGACTGAGTTTCCTGCTAGTGGGAACTTGTAGGCAAAGTGTTTCTGAAATCTTGAGGAAGACGATGTTCCTCGTGAGATTAGAATGGGAGCCATCCAGAGATCACAGTAATCTGGCATTCGGGTCACGACTAACCTCCTATAAGACAGATGTTTTTCAACTGATTTATGACTGAAGAAATTAAACAATGCTATATCCTTAGTGCCTATCGTATTGTATCAAAGCGTACTGAAATCACGAGAATGCAGATACGCCTAGCTGTCGAGCAGTAAACTGGTACAAAAGCTAGCTTCAGAACTTCCTCTTGCTTTTCTTCAACATGTTAAAATCAAAACAGGCAAAATCAAACGACTTAGTTTAGAAGGGGAAGTCACAATGTAAACTGACCGATGGAATACAATCAATGATGATCACTAGATAAACATCAGTTAATGCTCCATGACCGATCAATATAAAATTGTGTTACCTAACCAATATTACTTGAGATACAGTTACAGTGTGTTTCTACTTTGATCCCCTTTACCAATTCTACTTCACATAGACATTGTTTGCTAATAACAACGATAATAAAAAACGAAGTTATCTTAATTGTTGAACTTTTTTTGTTTAAATAAGAGATGACATAAGAAAAAAAAGAAAGATAAGGAGAGCATAAAAAGTTTTTAAAAATTCCACTGTATCATGATTATTGTTGTAATTATTATCATGAACGAAATTGCGTTGGCTTTATTTTGTATGGGCCAGAAATATCATAGGAACTAAAAAATGGTTTATCTTTTAAATTGAAAAAAGACAAATAAACAAAACGAAACGATAGGAAAAATACAAACGAAACACTGATAGACAAGAGAGAAATCAACACAGACAATAAACATATGTCATAGCAATCACAAATGACGGATAGAGAAATAATGATAGTAATAATAAGTTTCTGATATATTTCCGGGGGAATGGAGAGGGGGCCAAAAACTAACAAAATAATTATTAAAACAATAAGTCTATTAAAATAATCATGATTTCCTAGATCAATCAGTACATAAATAAAAGATAAAGTGATGACATTGATCGTTGTATAATCTCAGTGATGGATAATAAACAAAAACAAGTGTATGTGTATGCAAGGTGGGATGGGACTAGCCAATAAAGTTTCCTAACAAAAATATAAAAACAAAAAAACTGTTTGCAAAATAATAAGCCAAAGAAAGAAAGCATGAAAGACAAAACTAGAAACAAAAATAGTAAAAAGAATGAGAATAACCAAATAAAAGTTCCAACGGTACTTACTAGTAACACGCACACATACAGACAGTGATACAAGCAAGCATACAAACACATTTAGTAGATAGCATAGTAATCATTATCAACACTCGATTTGATTCAGTAGATTAGTGCACTATTATTAGTGAAAGTGTCAAATGTATACGACTGTTGATGGTGATGATGTAACAATAATGGTTGAGACTGTTGCTGCTGCTGTTGTTGTTGTTGATAATCAAGATGATATTGACTATTTTGATGATAATATTGTGGATCAAGACTTAATAATTCATAATTGTTGTAACATTGAAATGTATTAGAATTTTGAAATATATAATTTTTACCGTAATCATTGAAATCATCATCATCCTCGTCATCATAACCATCATAATTATCGTTATCAATATGATTATCAGTATAATCATATACATGTTTATACAAGTGATGCTGGTCATTATTAACTGTAGAAAAATAATGATTATTTATGAAATTTTTGAACTGTAATCCATTTATCATATGATTGAATGGTTCATTTGAATGATTGACATTATTAGAGATAGGATTGAATTCATTTGTATCTTTATTGTTAATTGGTGGATATAAACGAGCTGATATGGAGAAAATACAAAATTGAGAAGGGAAAACAAAAACAATTATATTTTCATGTGAATGTGAATAAGCATTTTTTTTTCTTCTACGATCGGATGTCTTCTATAAACAAACACTGAGTGATTCGGGTGTTCACTTATATAACTGCTGTGGAATGGATTGTTCCAGTGTCGCTTTCGCTAATTTCATGGATTCAGAAGTACACGATCGAGATCGCATTTAACAGTGTAGTAGCTTATACTCAACCAATTATTAAGCAAAAAGCTTATGCTAATGATATTTATTGAGGCTTTCTACAAACTGCCTACTAGCAAATTACGTCATTGTTATTAAAGATGACTAATTCGCTGGTATATTGTATCACCTGTTCGTCAAATTTGTTGACCACGATTTCAACACCATAAATTTCTCTGGTCTCAACCTCATGGTCTACTTTTTACATAGTCTCTAGGTAATATTCCTTGAAAAGAAAGAAAAACACAACTGACTGAGGAGATCTAAAACAATTTGTAGAGAGATCAAACACTTTTATAATTTTCAAAGGTTATCGAATGAATCCTCAAATCGGTAAATATTAAAACGTTTAAGATGGCGATCTTATCCCAATTTTTCAAAGATGGTTCAGTTTATTGTCGGTTTGTAGTGAAGACTATTTTGAACGATATAGTAGTTAATCCTTATTTGTTAATTTAAATATGTCAAGTGTGATCAACCATAGGGTAGATATAACTCAGTAACTATGCAAACGTTAGTGGATTTGAGTTAAATACATTGTGTATTTCTTAGTGTTAGCATATGGCTCTCTAAACTGATATAGATGAAATAAAAAATCACAATCGTGTGGTTGAAAGTTTATTATGTACAGTAATTTCTAACTAACAACAGCGGGAAATCTGTATCTTATAAACTTGTAATCTAAAAAGCTACTAGCAAAAAACAAAATTAATCTGAAGTAGTTTGACTGCTATTCAAAGAAAAGAATAATAGAACATAAAAATATATAAATAATATTAAATACTAACATCATATATCAATATACTCACGCTTTTTATGAGGCACAAGATACACATCGTCAAATTCTTTATGGATAACATCATTAGTTACTGGACAAATATGAGCCTGTGGAAGAAATGTTGGGCTGTAACCCTTTGCCGAATAATCAAAAATATTCACGGAAGTATTACTTGATTCGATATGTGGCTTTTGAACAAAACGATGTGAATTTGAGTTTCTGAAACAGCGGCCATGACAATTCGTGTACGGATGATAATGACTGTGATCTGAAAATTTAGACATTTTTGTATTATTGAGTAGACTGTAGTTAAATGGATTCCTCTGATATTCATATTGTTCAGAAGAACTGAATAGTTTATTGGGTAAAATTTGTTTGAATACCTAAAGTAATGTAATGAGAATTTTAGTTGGGATTATTGTTGTTAGAGATGTGAAAAAGAAATTTCTAATACAAAATAAGTAAGACAGAAAACTGGAGGAATTTTCTAAAGAAAAATAGAGGTTTTAATAAATAATTTATCTAGATATTTAGTTTACGAAATCCTGAATTCACAGAAAAAATTACAAACGAAAAGGATTCACTTTGGTAAAGCTAATCTTTGAACTTATGGAGTTTCGTTGACAAATATTTCAAAATGTAATACAAAATCCACGCCGTTATCATGAACATACATTCAGATAAATGGAAAGTAGTACGACATATGTGTATGATATTTGGTATTGTTTAGATTGCAGTATATTATATATTTTTTAATAAGTATAAAAGCCTAATTCCATTAGCTGTTATCATTAGTAGTACCAACATACATTTCTATTGTACTAAAAAAGAATGTCTATGTACAAATCACACTACCACTGATAAGCTATCGAGTAGTGGTGATGATGAATACAAGCGTTTGATTATAGTTTGTTGTAGAGATTGTTGACTTTGAAGTTTCGTGTTACAGACTGATTCTGGCTGAACAATCACTGAAAGCAAGAAAACATTAAACAGCCATTTTGTCCTAGTATGAAGGTCCTCAGCGGTGTTCGTCCATTATTCTGCCGTGGATTAAATCCACAAATTTCAGGTACTTGTTAGCTGCACAATGTGACGAGTTAATTGAAGTTGAACATGTGAACTATTGGATCCCAGTTCAATGGTTTAAAGGTTAATGAATCACCAAGAGACTTGATAGTCCTGAAGTTGGTGGTGAATGAAACTAAAAAGTCCTATACTAAGACGAAACAACTGTTCAGTACATCATGGTTTCTTGTGGCTATTTAACTAAGAACATTTTGTGATATAAACAATAAAATTGGGAATATCTAGCGATTTCACAAAATAGAATAATAAAAAAGATTTTTTTGAAACAACTTTAATGAAAAATCTATGAAGGATTCTAGATTTATGTAATGCAGTAATAAATGTTATCAATAATTTACAGAATCTAGATAAGTAAAAGCAGAATAAAGCAAATAGCTTTATAGTTATGTTTCATATTAACAAGAAAAGTATCTCAAATCATTATTATGTATTAGATAATAATTATATTGACCAATATTTCTATTGCATGTTAACTATCCAGACCGTTGCTGCTATCTTGACGTGGTGGTCGGGCTTGCCTAACGTAATGAACCAATCGGGCTATACTGGCCCGAACAACCGTTCCTCAAGGTCCTACCATGGAGGGCAAGTCGGTTGAAGAGCAGTAAGATTAACAGCAGCAAACCCAAGGTCTGAGGGCGAAGCCATGCTGCTAACTGTACAGAGGTGTGACTGCAGTAAGGTGCTTCCTTCAGACAACCACAAAGGAAGGATGGAGTTAGAAAAGGTTGATCCTAAAAATGCACATCTTGTCTTATCTCACGGATTTCCGTCTCCGGCGGTCAGGTCCTAACAATTACGGAGCTAACACGAAAATGTTGTAAGTGAACGGCCTCAAGCGATTGTCCCTTGGACACTGCGGTCACGCTCTCAGGTCACTAAGACCACCTTTAACCCAGTTTACTTTTCAGGTACCTCCAGAAGAACCTTTCCATGGTGTAAGCAACTGGAAAGTGATAACTGCCCTCATACCTCTAATACTGTATTCATAATCAATCTCCCTCTTCATTTCCCATTGTTCATCCTATGTCGACTTTTAACTCTAAACATCCTCTTTTGACTTCCTCAAGTGTCACCATGGCCAACGATCCTAGAACGCGAAACACTGTCCCAGGTCTATTGAAACCTTGCTTCAAACTACACATTGAAGCCTTCAACGTGTGCACCCTGTGTCAAATCGGACAGCAAGCCTCTTTGACTAAAATTCTATAATCTCGTACTACTGATGTGTGCTGTGTCTCCGAAACGCATACAGGATCCTAGTGTGGTCACTCACTTGGCCTTAACTCTCCAAAACGGAGAGCCAACGAGATACACCCTCCGTGTATCTGGCGACCCGATGGCTAGTTTTCGTGGACAGGCAGGTGTAGGTATAGCACTAAGTACGAGGACAGAACAAACATTAGTAGAATGGAACCCTGTTAACAGTCGCCAATGTGTTGTTCGGCTAAACGGCTCCGTAAGGATAAGGACACACGTCAATGCTTTTTCGTCGTTTCTGCCTACACTCCTACTGACTGCAGCCCAAATCAAATGAAAAACGAATTCTATAGAAAGCTTTCTGAACTTCTTCAAAAACCTCAACGCTCAGACATAGTACCTATAGCAGGGGACTTTAATGTCCAAGTAGGTAGCTTAAACCAAACAGAAAGATATTCAGACGGGTATTTTATTATTCCGACTCAGCGAACAGATAATGGTGACCGTCTACTGCAACTGTGCTCAAACAATCGTTTATTTTCAGCAAACACTAATTTTGAGCATAAGGAGAGACATCGTCTAACATGACGACCCCTGAAGAAAACTAACGATGGATTCAAATAGACCATCATTCATCGTTGGAGAGGCTCGATAGAAGACTGTCGCTCGTTATGGAATACATGTTTAGACTCGGATCATGCTCTAATACGAGCACGCATTTGCTTGCACCTCACTGGACACATAAAACCACATTAAGAAGACCCATTAGAGTTGAAATCAGTGACGAGAAAGCCATAAGTGGATTCCAGGAACAACTAAAGTTACACTTAAGCAATTCTGAAAACGAAGCTGACCCAGATGTTGCTTGGGAAGACATACGAACGACTGTGGAAACAGCAGAGACACCAATTAGTGATTTGAACCAGAGGGTCACGAAAAGCTAGTGGATTTCTACAAAGTCTATTGCACTAATGGATTCTCGTAAACCCATCCCATCAGGCTCTGAACACGATGAAGAACGAAAGCAAATCAGATCTAGGTTAACCAAAAGTACAGGGAACGATTGTGAGCAGTGGTGGGCAACGAAAGTAAGAGATGGAAAAGCCAGTGGCTGTAGGCGACACAAGAAAGCTTTTCAGACTCATAAAAGAATATGGAATTAAGAAGAAAATTGTGAGACCATATTGGAAATAGATGACAGTTATGTACTCTCAGCCCAGACATTTAGAACGATGAGCAGAACACTTTGAGGAGGAGTTCAGCTACCCACTATTCTGAAACAGCCTGAATGGAACATTGAAGTAGGCCTCCTGACTCTAATTGAAGTTCGAAAAGCTGTAGATAATCTGAAACGAGGAATAGTAGTTGGTCCAGTTTTAACGATTAGGTTGGATAATATTTTAGCTAAAACTCGGGAACTGAATATATTCCCATCTGACTGGTTGCAATCATTAATTGTCCCAATATATAAGGAGGGGTCAAAATCATCCTGTGATAACTATAGAGAGATTATTTTGACTAACATAGCATATAAAATACTGGCATCAATAATTATTGGGAGCCTAACAAAGACTCCTGAACTGCAAACACGAGAAAACCATGCTAGTTTCAGACCTGTTCGTGGCTGTATCAACAGCATATTTACCGTTCTTCAGGTTCTAGAACACAGGCATGCTTATAGGTGTTCGACAATGATAATTTTTCTTAACTTAAAAGCAGAACTTAATTCTGTAGACCAAGAAGTTCTGTGTCAGTGTCTATCATTGAAAGATGTACCTCAGAAGTATATAAATCTTGTGAACGTTCTTTACTCGAACACCACGGGTTCAGTCAAAGTTTATGGCGAACTGTCATCTGATTTTGCGACCTCTAGTAGTGTTCGGTAAGACTGTCCACTACCTCCGCTTTTGTTCAATTCCATCATAAACCTACGGCTGGAAACAACATCCTCGTCGACTGGATATTCCAGAATTGATATCCTTGATATCCCCATCAAAATGTAAATTGTTGCTTCAGGACTGGCCTGCATCAACACCTGAACTAACGATAAGGAGTATATTAGACGAATGCGTTGACAACTACCCTTATCTTGGAAGTCCGATCAGTCCTAATGGATTGGTGCTTGACGAAATCTCAGCAAGTATTCAAAAAGCTCGTCTAACTTTTGCCAACTTACGCCACCTATGGCGAAGGCAAGGTATCCGTCTGTCAATTACAGGACGAGTATACTGTGCGGCGGTTCGTTCTGTTCTACTTCACGACTGTGAAAATGACCATTAAGAGTAGAAGATACTCGTATGTTATTAGTATTTGACAACAGTTGTCTTAGAAATATTGCTCGCATCTGCTGGGATCACCGGGTAGGTAATGGTGAGGTTAGACTCAGGGTATTAGGAAGTAATGTAAATCAGTTGATGAGGTTGCGAACCTTCATCGACTGAGATGGTTGGGCCACGTGTCACCCATACCTGAACACCGATTATCGTGACGCACAATCATGACTAGTGTTGGGGATGGTTGGAAGAAAGTTAGGGGCAGTTAAACCAAATCGTGGCATCAGTCCTTGAGGTCACTAACTTCTGATCTGTGCCATGTTGGCAGATTTAGACTACTTGGTTGACGTCCGTGTGACTATCGTAACCAATGTTTGGAGACCCTGTGTTACGTGGCTCAGAATCGATCACAATGGCGTCGGTGTACACACTATTTGTCTGTCCTTAAACGGTGAGATTAAAATTGCTTCATACATTTATTTCTATGAACTAGTTCTTCCTTCCTGTTTTATATCCTTATACACAATCTTTTTTTTATATATTACCACCATTGAAGTAACTTCTATGAATTTGTTATTCATCTTGTTGTGCTGATGAGGTGTGGCAACTTGGACCGATGCATATATGTGCCCGGTCCTACGTTGTAGCTGACTGACTGAATATAATAACTATGAGTAATACAAATAAAAGTGAAGTTAAGTGTGGTATAGTGTTATTAAATGATTTTTAATTACTGAAGAAACAGATTCAAGCTAATTACCATTTGAGTTCAATCGAAAGAGTAATGACCATACAGTAAGTTTTTGTATAGAAAAATCATTATATAATTAAAGTCAATCTGCAAAATAAAAATTTTTAATTCCCTACAAACACTGATATATATATATATATATATATATATATATATATATATATATATATATATTATATATATTGAGCAAAAAATGCGTTTACATGTTCACATATATGCTACTCACAATTTATTCCCTAAAGTGCTCCAAATCAATAAAAAGAACTATCGTTAATAAACAAGCAGCTAATAACCACTGTAGTATTTTAAGTAATGTAAGTTAAATTAATAAGTTATTGGATTGATTAAATGAATCCGAAAACGTTTGTATGTTTTTATCTTCTCATACCGTTGTATTTATGATGATAAAATGTCTATTTCAATGTATATAGAACTATATTCAAATATTTTAAGTGTTGGGAAGTGATAAGGATATATTAAAAATGATTTGTATTTTCTCATTGTTTTTATCCAAGACTGAAAATGATCAGTCTCTACTGAAATATGTACACCCTTAATGGATTGCCTTGATATCGCCAAATTCTGGTAAAGCTAGATTGTGGTTAAATTTGGGATCCATAAGGAGTGTTTCTCTCTGTGTGTGACTTATCAGATAAATGATTCACAGTGATACTAGAGATCAGTACTTTTCATTTCAAATGCCAACATATTATCCGCTATTAAACTACTGAGTTCACATAGTCTTGAGTGCTGTTAGAGGTATGAGGGCGGTTATCACTTCCCGGTTGCCCACACCGTGGAAGGGTTCTGCTGGAGGTACCTGAAAAGGAAATTGGATTAGAGGTGGTCTTAGTGACCCGAGAGCGTGACCGCAGTGCCCAAGGGACAGCTGCTTGAGGTCGGTCACACACGACCTTTTTATGAGTAATTTTTTTGTTAGCTCCGTACTTGTTGAGACCTTACCGCCGAAGACGGATATCTGTGGGGTAAGGTGAGGTGTGCGTTTTTAGGGTCGACCTTTTCTAACCCCACCCCTCCTTGTGGGAAGGCAGCATCGCTGTTATGCTGGTTGTCTGAAGGAAACACCTTACTGCTGTCACACCTCTGTACAGTCAGCAGTACGACTTCGCCTTCGGACCTTGGTTTTGTTGCTTTTAGTCTTACCGCTCTTCAACCGACCTGTCTGGCATGGTAGGACCTTGAGGAACGGTTGTTCGGGCCAGTATAGCTCAATTGCTTCATCACGATAGGCAAGCCCGACCACCACGTCAAGGTAGCAACAACGGTCAGGTAAGTTCACATAACAACTGATTTGTTCGAAATGTATAAATAACAGCAAAAATAAAACACGAAGTCTTACACATAAATTCGCATTCACTATCTTCAACTATGTTTTATATAAAACAAAACGAGAACCATACGCTAGTGACAAAAAACGCATTATTCGTCCAATAAACCCTGAATAATGTTAAAATGTAAAAGTGTGATAAGTATGTGAATATAATGTATACTTGTAAGATAGGTCAATCGCTCTGAGTATATTACTGAAATAAGGTCTAAAATGAATATCAGATTGAGAAATATGGATGAACTTATATACCAGATTGGTGTATACTGACTGTATAGACTTCGAAACCTAGATCTTAAACATATGTTGAACATGAATTTCTCAATATCATAGAATAATGAATAAACTTACTTGACTTGTTGACTGTGACTCAACATTACAACTAACCACAGGATTCATTCTAGAATCAGTTGTAGTTGTTGAACATGAATTACCAAGCTTATTATAAAATACATCTTGAAGTAAAGACGAACTATGGGTACACAATTTAGTATTTGAACAAGATAAATTTGTGATATTTTTCTTCATTGAATCAGAACTAGTATTCTTAAGATTAGCGACAACAGAATGTTCAGAATGATCGAACAAATGATGTTCATCTGATTTCGTTTTCAGTCCGATTGTACTTAAATTGAAACCTTCTTGATCATTTGTAATACGTATGTCCTTTTCTCTTGATGTAGTAGCATAACTTTGAAAATGTTGACAGGGAGATAAAGAAATGGATGAATTAAAAGATAGTCCAGACGATATTTTTTTTTCATTAGATGGTGAAGATGATGGAATCAATGCATCCAAATGACTTGGTTCATCTGACGGGAATGTAGGATAGCCTAAAAAAATATAATGGGGAACAAATAGTATATTTGAATTCGACATTTTATAGAGAAAAAACTATTGAAGCAGCTAAAACTTGGGAATCCGATTGAAATCACAAATAAGAGCGGGAACATTATCGACTATTACTTTAGGATCAACAGTTTTCTCATTTATGTAAATTTAAAATGAAACCTATCGTCAAACATTAATTACAATCCTAGTATATATGTGGTCATGTCAAGACTTAATTACTTACGCCTGTTACTTCCAATGGAGCATAGGTCACCGACCAGCATTCTACAACCCACTTTGTCCTGGGCCTTCCTTCCTGGTCCTATCCCATTTTCGTTCATTCTTCTCATGTCTGTCTCCATTTCTCAGCGTCATGTGTTCTTTGGACTTCCTCTCCTCCTTTGGCCTTCAGGATTCCAAGTGAGGGCTTGCCTTGTGACGAAGTTAGGTGCTTTCCTCAATGTATGTCCTATCCACTTCCAGCGCGTCTTCCTCATTTCTTCCTCCGCTGGGATCTGGTTTGTTCTCTTCCATAGTAGGTTGTTGCAGGTAGTGTCTGGCCAACGGATCCGAAGTATTTTGCGTAGAAGACTGTTAATAAACACTTGTATCTTCTGGATGATGGCTTTCGCAGTTATCTAGGTTTCCGTCTCACACGGTAGAACTGTTTTAACATTTGTATTGAAAATCTTGGCTTTCGTGTTGGTTGACAGTTGTTTTGAGTTCTAGATGTTCTTCAGTTGTAGATATACTGTTCTTGCTTTTCCGATCCGCGCCTTCACATCTGCATCAGATCCACCGTGTTCGTCAATGATGCTGCCCAGATATGTAAAGGTTTTCGCATCTTCCAAATCTTCCCCATCAATTGTGATTCGATTGTTGCATGCTGTGTTGTATCGAAGAATCTTGCTTTACCCTTTGTGTATATTGAGACCTACTGCTGCTGAGGCTGCAGCTACACGGATCTTGTTCTCCTGCATTTGTTGTTGCATGTATGATAGAAGAGCCAGATCATCTGCGAAGTCTAGATCGTCCAGCTGCATTCTAACTGTTCACTGTATCCCATGCTTCCCCTCAGATATTGACGTCTTCATGATCCAGTCGATCACCAGGAGAAAGAGAAAGAGTGAGATTAAGCAACCTTGCCTGACACCAGTCCTTACTCCGAACGAGTCTGTCAATTGTCCTCCATGCACGATTTTGAAGTTTAATCCATCACAGGAATTCCGTATGTTATTGGCAATCTTCTCAGGCACGCTGTACTGTCGAAGAAGCCTTCATAGTGTTGTCCTACCCACGCTATCAAATGTTTTCTCGTAGTCAATGAAGTTGATGTAGAGTGACGAATTCCATTCAATTGATTGTTCCACAATGATCCGTAGTGTTGTGATTTGGTCTTTACACGATCGATCCTTACGGAATCTATTCCTTTGGTCTCGAAGTTGGGCATCTACGGAGTCCTTCATTCTGTTTAACAATACCCTGTTGAAGACTTTTCCTGGTATTGAGAGAATAGTGATGCCCCTGTAGTTAGTTAACCTTTCTATGGTATTTTGACTAGAAGTCCTTCTTTCCAGTCTTTTGGCACCTGTTCCTCATCCCAAATCTTTCTGAAGAGAATATGGAGTATCCTTGCAGTTACCGCCACGTCTGCTTTCAGTGCCTCTGCTGGAATGCTGTCTGGTCCTGCTGATTTGCCACACTTGATTTGTGTGATGGTGATGCTGATTTCCTCAATTGTTGGTGGGTAAAGATCGATTGGGAGGTCCGTGAGTGCTGCTTCGATGTTGGGTGAATTCAGTGGGGGTGTGATCATGTCAATGGTGTAAGGAAAAAACTACCAAACTATTTCTAGGACAATAAACTTTTTTTCCTGAATATCGATGTACAGAAATGAGCTTTCGCAGAATAGAAAAACTAGTGATTTCTATTATCAAGGTTAAAGCTATTAACTTTAAATGTACATGTTAACATTGTAAACTTACAAACAGACCCCTATACCATTGTTGTGTTTGTAATAACTGCCTACACAAGATTGATGCCATAAACTATGCTTCGTATAACCGATATCTAGACACAAATGATTAATGTGGAATAGTGTAGTGCATTTTTTCATATTTGAGATGAATGGTATTTGTGCATACTAAGTAGTGTATAGTATTTATAACTTATGGGAAAAAGAAAGTCATAGTAATCATAGTCAGACAACGATGTGTTTACTACGGGTATTATTTATACTTAGCATACAGGAAGATGTGGTTAAGAAGCAAAGAATGTGAAAATATAGTATTGAAGTTTACCATTTCACCACATATCGCTAGTGAGTGATTTTAAAATGGAAGTTCACATAGAGGTGGTTAAATTATTAGACTCTGGCAATCACTGATTTAATATACGGTTCATGTCGCGTTATACCGGTTACTTTGATTCGACTAGCTTGATGAATAATAAAAAACATCGATTAGACACGATGAAACACAACTAATTAAGTAGGAAACAATCATTGTACAGACTGGTGTCTGTCTATTTGGTAAGAAGAAAAAGGAGGAAATAAGTAGTAACCTTTTCTCAATTAAGTCATCCATTCGGCGTTTGGGTATGTATGAACTATTGAAACTACCTGGTTGCCTAAACCGAAGGTGGAGCGGAATTCTAACCTAAAATGTTGTGGCTGAAAGTCGAACGCCTAAACCACAAGGCCACTGCTCTATTTTAGTAGGATATAAAAAAAGAATATGTGTAGTGTTATACAATAACTTTTAATACTTCTGTTAAGAACTAGTAAAAACACAAATTTTAGAACAGATTTTTTAGAAATATAGGAAAACCGTATATTTTGTATGAAAGCAGCTGACTAACCTTGAACATAAGATGATGCTGGAACCGAGATGTATTGTGATTCATATGAATCGGATACAAAATTAGTAGTTTCATACTCGCATTTCATTTGATTACTGTTATTATTAGACTTTGTCACAAGGTCTTGTTGATCAGTTAGTGTTGTTGTTGATAAGTGAGATGTAAATACTGATGAATCAGATGTGGAATCATTATATCCATGTAAATGTTCATAGTTAATTAGTTCGGATTGAGGTCGCTTGACAACATTGAGACGATTGGATATCTCTTTTTCAATAGTCAATGAACTTTCCGATAAATCATTGCAATGATAGAAACTATTGAAAAGATAAATTGTTATTTTAAAAAAAGATTAAACAAACATTAAAAAAGAATGAAGTCGGTAATATGAAATATGAGAGAGGAAAGTAATTTGTTCACTATGATACCAAACTGACAATTTACGATTAAGGAAATAATTGAAAACAATTAAGATCTGAACATATGTTCAGTGTTTAAGATATGACTGAGCTGTTAAAATATCTTTCACATTCACTGTTGTCGTGATATACCAAAGGATAATGTAACTTTGAACCACACATCATATATAAAATGAATTCAATCTAAATTTTATTGTACACTGAAACCAGAATTTTGTTCTGTTACGTTTACTCAGTTTGAGCTGAATGTATACGCGGCTCGCTTAACTATATACTAATATATGACGTTCTGTTTACTGTCTTACTAAAAAGTATTATCATTTCGTTGCATTTATGAAGCCTTTATAACAATGTATATTTGTGTGGATAAATATAATCCGTTATAAATTGAACAATATGGTTAAAGCGTGCGAGAAGACGAATACTATAGTATAACTATTACTACGGTAAGAACAAAGCACTGATAAAAAGAATGTTTATTTAATGAAACTATTCCCCATATCTCCAAAATTACAAAATGTTTATGCAATATATACACCTAGTGTTCAGTCATCCATTTGCATTTTGTTTTATGTTCTATAATGCAAACTGATATTAAACTGACTTCTCTTACGATCTCCAAAGTATTTTGCATACGCCGTCCTTTTAAGCCTCCTGAAAGTGTTTTTTTGTGGTTTCGACTGTAATAACTTCCATATGATGTCCCGCTACATATTTATAAGTTATCTTATGAATAGGATTCACCACACTATTATTACCATTAGTTTATATATTTACTTTAAAGCTTAACGTAAACATGAAACAGTTTTTAATGAAAATTATATAAATTTTAATTTATTACAGATTGATCAAGACATAATCTAAGGAATTCAGACAACATAGTATTTATGCCAACTGATTTCAACTATAATACATTAACAATAACATACAAAAAGTTGACTGGTTTTTATAATAAGTAGTTAGACAAAATTCTATTCATATTATATCATTAAATTAGGTTACATAAGTAAAATAGAATAAAAGAATCAATATTAAAAATTAGAAATTCTGAATCATAAAATCTAATTAATAAATTAAAGTATTTATATATTTTAATGTATAAAAAAGAATTTGTTTGCTTTTTTTAAAAGAACCGGATATCAACAAGAGAATATTTATATTGACCAGTGAATAATAATAATAATAACTTTTGAATATGAATTTTAAAGAGTTGAACAAGAATTAATTGATTAAATCTATCATAAATATAATAGTTTCACTGTTATTTATCACCAAAACAACAGACAAACACATCAATATATATATATATATATATATATATATATATATATATATATATATATATATATTGGAACTTTTCTATTATCTAATCACAGAAACTGGAAATCATATAAATAACATGAATCTATTTTATAATTTATTAATTTAATTGAAGAAATTCTTTCAACTTCATTCATATTTGTAGGAAAAAATGTTTTATTTTTCTTGAAAATAATACAATATACAATGAAAAGAATGAGTCTATTCCACGTGAAAAATAGTGACTATAACGGAAAACAAATGAACTAATGGTCTTATCCGAAAAAATTAAGTCACACGTTATCATTTATTTAAAAAAAATTATATATGAATAAGTAAATATGAAATAATAAGTAATAACATTGGCTTTTATTTTCCTCTGGTTTCTATGTCTCTCTCTTTATCTCTCGTTTTTTCTCTTGTCTAGAATGAGGTGTGTTCTATGTTTTCTTTAAAAATACCATATTTTAATTAGTTATCAAGAGAATAGAAATAAAGACAAAAAAAAAATAATGTAGAAAATCACCAAACATGTCACCTATTAAATTTATATTAAATAGAATTATAATGAATTAATGAAAACTTTGTACAAGTAAAGGTTGAAGTATTATGAAAAAAGAAAATAGGAAAAGACAATGAATTGTTTGTGAAAAATGTCACGCTATGAATGATAAATAGATGGTGAATTTTTTGTTTTTTTTATTTTTTTTCCAAAAAAATGTGGAAAAATAAAATATAACCTTAATGAAACAAAAAAACCATAAATTTATATTCTAATATTATTTCATTAATTTGAAGAAAGAAAAAAAATTAATGCTTAATGTACTTAAATATTAAACAAAGTATGACTTACAATCACAAGTTGATTTTTACTTCATATATTTAGAATATTTGAACATTTCGTGAAATTGTTTATTTAATATGTTAGAATATTAAATGTTGAAGAATTTCAAGGTTAAGTAATTTATTATTATTATTATATTAAATTAAGGAACAAATACAATTGTATATGGATGACGAAATTAAATAAAAATAGCTTAATTAGGCATACATGCTTTGACGGTGACATTATATGAATTCTTAAGTTATGATTAAGAGACTAAGATCTATGTAATATTAAAGAAAAAGAGATGAACAATCTCAAATACAGAAACAAGCAATACGACTAACCGAAGGTTCAAGTTAGAAAAAAAGATACTAAAATTTGTGTATTAAAAAACTATATCAAGCGGTGTATGAAGTATTTAGACCCCCGAAATGATTTCAAATTAAAGATAGGACCACAAGGCAGAAGAATACTTTTTGGTGATAAAAACATGCTTATAAACAAGTTATTTGCAGAAAATCAGAATGACTAAGTGTCAGAGATGATTGAAGGACGTCAGTAAATCGGTCACAATGGAGAACGTATACGTATGAATATCGGTTTAAGTTTCCATACCCTATTAGCACAGATTTCAGTCTGTAGGTCGAATTAATTAAGACCTGTTTGTCAGGCCTAATTATTGGGTATCGTATCAACAATATCTAACATGATGTGGCAAGTTAAGCCAATAATTTATTAATGTATTTAAGATTCTCATTAAGACATCTCAAAGCATAAATTATTCAAAATATTTCGTTTTAATTATGTTATAACTCTCGGGTTTCTTCGTCTACACGAATGGGACGTTAATTTACCTTAGACGAATATCTACACCAGATTCCCTCAGTGTCAGCGGACATAAACTAGAGGAAATAGCTACTAATCTATACAACAGATTCACTACAAGAGAAATGTTTTTTTATGACTGAATGGAATTATTCCCAGTATTTTAAACGTATTTTATAATTAACATCTTTCATATTTTCCAATAGACAGAAGTTCACATTAATAACCAAGACATAGTGGATCCACGATAACAACATTAAAATATCACTGTATCGTAATTAGTTTTATGTAGGAAATAAATTAAATACAGATCTGTTTGAACTATGTTACAATCGTATCCATAATCAATGGAGGTCGAATACAATTACATAAACTAAATAAATGGTAGGATACTTATTGTCTGTTATTTTGTCTTTGGAATGTTGTCATTCCACCTAATATTGAATTCACATTTATGTCAGTTGAAAATAAGGTTCATAATTTGATGTCAATTTAATAGGTTAGAACAAAAGTGAAAACTAATTACACACCTAATGTAAATGCATGCTATGCCAATGAATCAGTGAAATTGTTTATTTCTGTTGCATAAATAATGGATTTTCTTATTTGTTATCTTTTTAATGTTGACGGCAAGTGTCGTATTTTATGTCAATTTGGAGTTTTCACTATTAATACACTCGACATGTAAACAAAAGAAGTCTAATCAATAATTGTATATAGATAATCACAACCCGGATTAACTCTGAAGCCTAAAACTGGGTTGTTGAATGCAATTTTACGATCACTTAGATTTGATGAATTTACAAAGTGATCTATCGTTCAGTTTTATATAGAATAAGTGATTTGGTTACATGAAGAGACAGTGGGAAAAACTAGCTCAATAAACAATTAAGAAATATCTCCCATGTTTTAAAATCTATGTAACACTCCTAACGAAAACTGTTAAAAACGGATAATCATGCGATCCGTACCCACAACGGATGAAGTGGCTGAAAATATCAAACGATTGATCAGCATACCATACATAACATAAATATAGACTAATATTTTACCAAATCAAATTAGCTATAAATACAAATGTAAAGCTTAGATAAATAAAATCGTCAAAAATAAGATTTTCTTCATTGAATTGACTTAATCTTCAATGACACAATGCATCGCTTTCACTACTTGTGATTAAGTTGACTTTTCGGTATTGCCATAAGAATTGATTGCAATTGGCTTAGTTGTTTGACGTGCATAATATCAACAGTGGAGGTTGAGCATTACATAGTCTTCTAAACTCAAATAACTTAGTTCGATTACAACAAAGTATTTACCCAGAATTGATAACTGCTAAAATTACAAGAGGGTACAAAAACCATAATAAAATAGAGAGTAAACTAATCTCTTTTAAAACATAAAGATCAAGTTTCAATTAGTTAATTATTAAATTTTCAATCATACACAGATTTCTGATCTAAAGTTAAACATTTGATACAATAAATTCACGTAAATATATGTAAACTATTATATGGTTATTAAGGAATAATAACTTACTGCGATAATTGATGACAACAGATCAATATTTCTGAAGATGTACATTTATCAAAAGAATTCAATTCATCAAAATTTCCTAATTGAGATGATGAAAAATTATTGTCAATATTTGTCATACAAGTTTCATTACAGTTCATATAATAATTTGATATTTCATTGATCGGATATTGATAATTATTTAATCGATTATTTGTATATATTGACGGTGAGTTTGACAAACGATATGATTGTTTGCAATAAAAAATTAACATACGAGCCCAACAATATTTTCCACATTTTAATCGTAATCGATAAAATGAAGTGACCACCGGTTGATTTTCATTAACTAAAATTATTTCAATTTTTTTGTTATTTTTGTTGGAAAAAAAGAAACAATGAAAATAAGTGATTTAAAAAAAAAGAAACATCTATGGTGAAGAAGTGACAAATCATACAGATTAACTGGGTAATTGGTTGTTGAAATTTAATTAAACAAAAAAACTACACATTGTTTTGAATTCTTTTATTGATTAAACCATTTTCATTCGGATTTCGTCGTTATTTTATTCTCCTTTATAGGAGAGGTTATAACAGGCAATTCAGTTGGTTCAGTAGTTCCCAAGGTAGAAAACAAAACAAATATTTGTACTGGTATGCTGTTTAAAAAATATTTTTGAAGACACATCAGTATATCATAGCAAGGGTTTGAATAAAACTAATAGACTGAATAAAATATCGTAGATATATATTTTATGTAAAAGAACATTCTACAACATTGATAGCAACAAATGTCCATATGTCTAGAAGTCAGCGGTTACGTAATGAGTAAATGTTGATAATAAGTAAGAATAAAAATGAGTAAATCTTAGTTAATTAAATCAGGTAAACGGAATACACCCATTAGGATATTAATATATCTGTCATGTATCTTAGTTCGTGTGCTTAATTTAGTTTCATTGGGGGTTGTGGAGAGTCGAGGTAGGATCATAATTGAACGATCATAAATAGGACTTTCATTAAAAATAGCAGTACGGATGGAAACAAGATACCGTATTTTATGTTGAAATAAACCACTCTGATGTTCAAGTTATTTTGGAATAAAAGAGTCGAACGGATGCGCTTAGTAAAATATAATAAATTCTACATGTTTTGTGAGCAGATAACTGAGTTGCAAAACATTTTAAATGAAGGATCACAAATTTAATTACGAATTTCGAATATGGTAAGCTTCAAAACTGGTTGTGTAAGACGGGTTGTGATCTTTTGTTTTTCTATAAAACAAAACGCTTAAGAATCTGAAGGAAAGCTAAAAACATTTTGCTCAGTCAGTCAGTCAGTGACAACGTGGAACTTCGTACGTACGTACATCAGTTCGAGTTGCCACACCACATTAGTACAGAGATTCAGTTATCGATTCAAATACCGTAGTGGTAGAGGTAGTGAAAGTATAACTAGTAATAGGGAACATTAGGGTTTGATGATGTTATTTACGGAGTATAGTCCAGTGAAATATATTTGGAAAGAAAATAAAGGACATGAAGAATTCAGAAGATTAGAGTTTGGGAGAACACAAAGAGTGGATGCACCTGCGTCATTGCAACCGATTTTGAGCCATGTCATTCAGGATCTCTAACCATCGGTTGCTATCATCTCGCGATCCCCAACCAGGTAGTCTACACCTACCAACATGGCCCAGTCCACTTGTCAGTGACTTCATGGATTTGTGCCATGTTTTGGTCTGGCCGCCCCTAGCTTTCTTCCAACGTACTCCTACACCATAAAACAACGATTGTGGGGCGCCTGAATGTGTGTCTATGTTCCAGGACCTGACGTAGTGTGAATATCTGATCTATACAACCACGTCCAGGTCGAAAACCAGCCTGGTTTTCTCTAGTCTGCATTTCACGAGCTTTGGTTAGACGTCGAAGTATTATTGAAGCTAATATTTTAGACACTATATTAGTCAAACTAATTCCTCTGTGATTGTCACAAGAAGACTTGTCCTTTCTTATAGACTGGCACAATCAGTAATTGAGACCAGTCAGACGGGATTACGTCCAGTTCCCAGATTCTACCTAAGACCTCAGTCAGTCTCGCTGCTAATACTGGACCACCATCCTTAAAAATCTCAGGGGTAAACCTGTCATGGCCTGTTGCTCTCCCACGCTTGAGATTTCCTGTAGCTTTTTCAACTTCGTAAAGAGTTGGAGGACCTACATCAATTGCCATTCAGGTAGATTGGAGATCGTGGGAAACCGAAGTGTGGCTGAAGGCCAGTTACGCTGATCCCTAAAGTGTTCTGCCCATCGATCCAATCTCCTGGATTGAGAATGAATAATATGTCCATCTTTCTCTGAGATTGTTTCGCTAACAGTTAGGTTCCTAATACCGGTTTTCTTAACAAGTCTGAACAGTTGTCTGCTGTTACCTATTGCCTCTGCCTTTTCCATCTCTCTTGCTTTCGCTACCCACCATTGTTCACGATCATTGCGTAGGCTTCTAGTCAGCTTACGCTTAAGCTGACTCCGCTCTTCGTTATGTTCAGAGCCAGATGGAATGAGTTTTCGAGCATCTATCAGTGCGGTAGACGCTGCTGAGATCCAGTGTTTCTCCCTAACCTTATGGTTTACCGTACTTGCAGACATCACTGCTGTTTCTAAAGCTTTTCGGATGTCATTCCACACTGCCTCGGGGTGGGCATCACTTACATGGCTGCCTAACTGTTTTTCTAGTTGTTCCTGAAATATACTCTTAGCTTGAATATCATTAAGTAGGACCCTAAGGGGTTTCCTTGCACCATCTTTCCTACGTTCAGTAAGGCGTAGTCAAATACACGCTCGCACTAGAGCATGATCTGAGTCTAAGCATGTGCTCCAGAATGAGCGACAGTCTTCTATCGAGCCCCTCCATCGGTGGCTGATAGCGATGTGATCTATTTGGGTACAGCGTTGTGACAAATTAGGCGGTCTCCATGTTAAAAGATGTTTTTCCTTATGCTTAAAGTTAGTGTTTGCAAGAAACAGGCGGTTATCTGAGAATAGCTGCAACAGACGGTCGCCGTTATCTGTTCCTTGAGCCGCGACACTATAAGATCCACCCAGGTGTCTTTCCTTTTCGCTTAGTTTACCTACTTGAGCATTAAAGTCACCAGCCAATATTACTACATCTGAACGCCTAGCTTTTCGGAGAAGGTCGGAAAGCTTTCTGTAAAATTCATCTTTTACATTATCTGAGCTGCAGTCAGTGGGAGTGTAGGCAGAGACGACGAAGAGGCAACGACGAGTGTCCCTATCTTTCCGAGTCCTTACTGTTCCGTTTAGTCGGACAGCACACAAAAGACTGTCTACTGGGATCCAGTCTAAGAGAGCTAGTTCTGCCCTAGGACTCAATGCTATACCTACGCTATCGAGGCCACGGGAAGCAGCATTAGGGCTTCCAGATACATGGAGCGTAAATCGAGTTGGTTTGTTACTTTGACATGGTGAAGTCAAATGAATGACACTACTCGGATCCTGTATGTGCGTTTTGGAGACGCAGCACACGTCGATGGAGCGAGATTCTAAATTCCTAGCTAAGGATGCCTGGTGTCATATTTGGCACAGTGTTCGGACGTTGAAAGCTCCTACGTGTAGTTTAGAGCGTGGTTTTAGGAGACCAGAAATAACGTTCCGCGTATTCGAATCGTTTGCACTAGCGGTGCCAGGTGATAAAAGGACGTAAAAAGGGTTGGTCGTGGAGATAAGAGAGTTATTAGAAGGTGTAGGAGGGATTTGAATGTGACCAACGTCGTCTCGTATGCTGTTACGGGTATGAGGGCTGATGTCACTTCCCAGCTGCCCACACCGTGGAAGGGTATTTCTTGAGGCACCTGAAAAGGAAATCAGATTAGTGTTAGTCTTGGAGACCTGGGAGTGTGACCGCAGAGCCCAAGGGACAACTGCTTGAGGCCGGTCGCGCACGGCCTTTTTGTGGGAAGTTATTAATGTGTTAGCTCCGTTCTTCAAAGGACCCTACCGCCGGAGACGGAAATCCGTGGGGTAAGATGAGGTGTGACATTTTTAGGGTCGACTTTTTGTAACCCCTTCCTTCCTTGTGAGAAGGCAGCATCGCTGCAGATGCCGGTTGTCCGAGGGAAACACCTTACTGCTATCACACCTCTGTACAGTCAGCAGTACGACTTCGCCCTCAGACCTTGAGTTGCTGCTTTTAGTCTTACTGTTCTCCAATCGATCTGCCTGACATGGTAGAACCTGCAGGAACATGTGTTCCAGCCAATATAGCTCGGTTGGGTCATCACGATAGGCAAGCCCGAACACTACGTCAAGGTAGCAGCTCAATCAGAATCAAGTGGAAACTTGCCAGAAACTTATAGAAGAATAAAGGAATATGTGTCACATCCTTAGCGGATAATCACTTATGTGGCCATTAAATTGTTTCCAGCAGCTTCCACAATGTCAGGGTTACCTATAAATCTATAAATACCCTTACTGTACAGAAACCAGACTTGGAAATAAAGCTTCATTTTACAAATTCTGGTTTCACATTGTTGTTCAAAATCCAAGTATAGAAGAATTAAGAGGAATTAATAAACAGTTTAGAAGTAACCGTCTAGCATTTTAGTGCCACACTTATCATGATGTTGGGAAAAATAAATTTTGATTAATTTGAAGATTATCTAGCTAACCAGCAATATTTAACCATTTACTGGACCAGACATATACTTTCAATTTTCTGTTTGTATAGCACAGAGTATTCTTCTATGAATACGAATAGTTCCAGAAAAATCCGAAAATACAATAGGATGTATACATCATTATAATAATCCAAGATTCTCACGAGCATAGGTCAATACCAAAACAAATATACCAATAGGAATTAAAATTAAACCTAGATGCAGTAGGCAATAAAAAATTGTCGAGACAATAGATGCAATTTTTTATGTGAATAAATATAAACGATTATGACGTCATCACTTAAAAGTACAACGACAAAAACAATAACGAGAATCTGCAACAAGTTAATAAACTATGACGTCAAAACCAGAAATTTCATTCTGCCACTCACTAATGCATCATTCATTTGTACACAAAATAATCATGGTAATAATAGTAATAGTTATTGAATTTAACCGGAAAATTAATTTGCACGCAGTAAACAATAATTTTAAATTATATTAGTACAGAGATGAAATGATCTTGTTTGTTCGGATTGAAATAATAATAATAGACAACAGTTAACTATTTATTGAGTTGCAGGGGAAAGGAAATGACACATTTATAATAGACGATAAAGGATTTAGTAAGGAATCAAAGAACATTGAATATTTCCCTTTTGCTTGAAAACAGA